AATGGGAAGAACGAATCATATGGTGGTTGTAAAAAATGCACTCTTTATATTTTTGTTATCCATCCCTATGACGTAAGTGCATTTATCCTGTAATGTTGGAGGGTTGAGTTTTTATACTCTTAATGAAATTCTGTAGCTCTTGTTGAGTGGGGTGTGTAAATTACAGAACATCCTTGACAGATTTCACCTATGTGAGCATGAAAGTGGGGCCGCTTTCTAAGAGAACAAGGCTTATTCTCAAATATGCTCATGAAAAAACTGGGATTAGCACAAGGCCGTAATGTGCTAGCTATTAAAGCTCATGTCAACACCTGGATTATTATGTGTGAGCAATAATTCTTTATTTCCCCTAAGCAGTCATAGTTCAAGTCTGAACCACTACTGACTCTGGAGTAGAGGTTACTATTTCACTAATGAAGGTTCAATGCAGAGCACACCTTCATGATGCATACTAATCTATCTTTGTTTGGTAATCTCTTTTATCTTTGTTGATATTAAAATGAGTGGGGGATTGTTGGACCATTTAATATCTTATATTTATTTATGGGTTTCATTACTTTGGTAACCTCTTGGTATAAATGGAGGTTAAATAGAATTCATGAACTTGGTTAATGGTCATTATTTTGGTGTAACTATTTTTTTTTTAATGGTCATTATTTTTGGTGTAACTGTAAGGTCCTAATGGCCTATAAACAGTTTACTCTTTTCTATCAACATACACCAACTATTTTTTCTATAAAAGAGAGATTACTAGCAAAGAAGGGTGTTTTATTGTGGGAGCTTTGGGTTCACCATCTTGTGCAGAGTTGGCCTGAACCATACGACAAGTGGTTGGGCTGTTGTATCCTGGAGGGGACAAGTCATAGTTTTGTGACTACTGCATCGGTATTTGGGTTCTTCCTACCACAGTGGGCTTGATCTCCTTAAAGAAAACGAGATATCCGTGCCTCAGCTTGATCTATTTGTATCTCATTTTCTTTGCATCATTTATCAATAAAATATAATTGTTTTTGGTATTTTCACTAACAGAGTTTAATTTATAAGTCAATTTTAAATCAACACAGTTACCTACTACCTGCTTTTCAAGTCTCACTTTCCTCCAATTTTGGTTTTTTTTTTGTTTTTTTGTTTTTTGCTATTATTAATCAGATATTTTGGATTTAAAAAAGAAGATCAAAGTTGTCCTTCGAAACTGTTTACTCGATGGGTTTGAATATCCAACACTATTTCAATTTTGGGCACCCACAATAACAATGGATGGCCGATCTTATCTTACAACTCAAACCAACCTTCGCTCTTTCTACATCTGATACAACAATTGATGATGTTAAAGGAGTTTGTGGGTATAGGATGATCTATGGACTATAAATTTTACATGGATACAGAGAGTTCTGATGAACAACTTGGGGTTCCTGGCCGTGTGTTCAACCATGGATTTCCCGAATTCTCTCCCAATGTAGAATATTACTCTATCAAAGAGTATCCATTGCGCGACCATGCTTTGCGTTGCCAACTTAAACTATCTTGGGCTATCCCACTGTTTGATCCTTCAACCCACTTATGTGTTGGTGTACTTGAGAGAGTTTCAACAAGGCCCTCAAAGGAATTTCTATTATACGACTACTATCATTGGTGGCTTATGCTTGAGGTTAGCCCCCCAACTCACAAATTGGCCTTTTTTTATGTCTTTCTAATGTTGACTGATTAACTCCCCTCTCTCCTTTCTTACATGTATGCAGAATTGTGCTCCTTCGATAATTTAAATTTAAAAGAAAAAAAATTATCAAAAAAGTAAAAAAAATAGATGAGAAGTGTGTTTTTAATAGGGTAAATTACAAAAATATAATTTGTTTAAAACACATATTGTCCCCTGCGATTCTGGAATGTACATCACGTCTCTTCAAGTTTTTAATTGTATAACAAATGACTCTTTTTATTAGTAAATCATCAACCGTTGTGTGTGGTATCTGGCCCATTGGACCGGCTAATCCATTAGACCAACAATTTTTTCCTTTAATTTTTTAGCTTGTGCATATTTGATCCTATTATAATGCAACATGGCTGCGTGCTTCTCATGTGTCTATTCTGCATAAAATTCATAGTTTTTTGGGAAGTTGGTTTTTATGTAAGTTTTTTTAGTTGCAAGATATTATTGGATAAAAATTTTTTAGTGTTTGGGAAGATAGTTGGGTTTTTTTGTGGTTGGATGTGATGTTTGTGAGAGAAAAAGTGAAATGATTATGGGGTTGGATGTGATATTTTGTTTGGATTTGTTTTTTTTGATTTTGCAAAACTTTTGTCTTTTAGTAGAAAAATGAGAAAATTTTGGGAACCATGTTCCCAAACACCACCACAAATTACAAAAATCAAAGCGCTAATCTTTTGAAATCGATATTAATCGGACTAAAAAAATTAATACAGGATGAAGCTAGATGGACCATTAGCACAACTATTATTTGTTCTTTTTTTTTTTTATCTTGTCAGTGCCGGATGGCATGTGAGGAGTATGTAATTGCGTTATTTCTTCACGATTGTTATCAATATCAATGTGACACAAAATGTAAAATTAAATGGTAATCCAAAAAGATACAATGAATGAACTATTGGTTTGAGGATAAGATAGTGTGTTGTTTATACAAAGAATGACCTATTGATTTGAGGATAAGATAGTGTGTTGTTTATCTTATTAGCATGAGCTTTTATGCTAGAAAGAAAGAAAGCAAAGCAAAACGTCAAGAAGTATTTTTTTATCGCATTTCGTGCTCATTTAGCTGTGACTGAATTGTTTTTCCATTATAGAGTCTCTTATATGCTTCCTTTTCTTGGCAAATAAATATTCTACATTTCAAAGTGTACAAGATCCGTAGTGGCATCTTTCCATTATCCTGCAGAAGGTAGGTTTGGAATCTTCAATTTCACATGCAAACCATCGCAGGGATTTAGTAAGTGGTACACTGTAATGTAATGTCAAATTTGGTATTTATTTTATTTTTTAAATTAATATAATGAGGAATATCTTCTGACAATACTTGGACGTGACGACACTTTTCAACCAGATTCAGAATGTGGAAAAAAGTGAAGCCTTAGATGAAATTAGCAAGGTGTTGGAAGTTGTGCGTGAAGTTCATGGTTTACAAGTTTGCTCAAGTATGGGCCCCATGCAGGGTAGACTGGAGATGCAGGGCTCTGGTTAAGGGTGACATCTTCCATGTGATAATCATATTAAATTAGTGATGGTATTCACTATCCAATTAAATTAATATTCACTGGATTAATAATCTCACCCCTACCCCATTACTAATAATCTTACAAATTTGTTGGATTAATTATCCATTGGATTAATAATCCTAAACCAAAATGTTAAAATAAACATAGAATAGTTGGACCCACGGATTAATAATCCCAATCTCATACTCTAATCCGCCCAATCAGCCATGCCCCAAGGTCATGTTTGGTTCACAAGACTAAATGTGAAGTATTAATAATCCTATTAAATTAGTGTAGTATTCACTATCCAATTGAATTAATATCCATTGGATTAATAATCCCACCCTACCCCATTACTAATAATCCTACAAATTTGTTGGATTAATTATCCATTGGATTAATAATCCTAAATCAAAATATTAAAACAAACATAGGATAATTGGGCCCACGGATTAATAATCCCAATCCATACTCTAATCTACCCAATCAAACATGCCCTTTAGGCTTCGTTTGGGAAACCCAACTTGCGGCTTTTTTGGCTATTTTTAGTCACAAAAAATAAAATATGTTTTTTAGTCTAATAAGACAAAACATCACATCCAACTTATAATCATTACATTCTTTCTTTCACAAAAAAGTCAAAAAAACTAAAAGTCCTTCCCAAATCAGGTTTTTTAGCCTCAGGCTAAAATAGCCAAAAAGCCAAAAAGCTAAAAAGTCAATCCACTTCCCAAACGAACCCTTAAATGTAAGAGAGATGAAAATAACATTTTTTTATTTATACCACTAATGAATTTCTTATGAAAAAAGAGGTAAGAGTGATGAATTAAAACCATAAAGGAGTCCAGTATAATTATACCAAACTTGTAGGACTTACTATATTTTCTCCAAAACTTGGGGAGGTTAGTGTATTTTGTTAGGATTTAAACTACGCGTTCAACTCCTAACCCTATGAATCTTGGAAATTATGAATCACAGAAAAAATAAATAGACAAAAAACACAGATATACGAAGTTCGGCAACCTGTCTATATTCTCAAGAGCTACACCAATTCACTATGTTGAGTCTAGAATTACAAACACTCTTCTTCTCCCTCACACTAAAAAAGGCAGTAGTACCTCTTTTCTCTCTAACCCTAAAATGTATAAACACTATTACATTATAATAGGTAAAATTCTATGGGCTAAAAATAGCCAAACAGGCCTGGAAAAAATTCTGTTGCGAGGGCCCCCCCAGGCTTGGGCTTTCTATTAAAGGTTGTCTGCATACCTAACATAATTTATCCTAAATTTTTTTACAAGCTTTGGTCTCAACCATAATTGATTTAAATTGTTTTTGTGCTTCAAAGAATCATATGTTTTGCCTTTGCATTAAATTGAGTTTTGAATTTTTATGGGGCTTTTGTATCCTGTCTTTCATTTCTATCCTAAATGTTGATGATGGAGTCAATGAACACTACTGCTATTGTGCATTTTCCATATAAACAGGAAATAACTGCATCATTTGAGGTTCATTCTGATGAAGTGAAAGATTTTTTTTTTTTTGATCAGCAAAGAAAGTAACATTTTATTAATGCTAATAAAACATTACAAAAGGGGAGAATGAAACAGTTGGCCAGAATCCAACTGCCAAGAGGAAACCAAAAGAACCCAAAACACTCCCAACCTTCCTGAAACAGAGGAAACAAGGCATGATAGTCCAACAACTATCTCTAGAATCAAAAGATAGAACAAAAGAAAATATAGCAGCAACAAAAAAAATTGAGATGATTCGAGTTGGTTAGTGGTAATTGACTACTTTGGATCAATCGATACCACGATGGAAGTTCCCAGCAATCTGTAAGTGCTAATACAATCCTGCAAGTCATCATCGCAAGCTATTAAAATCACGTGATCTTCCTCATCTTTATACTTGACATAATAACTTCCAGCTTCTAAGTGCAGCCTCTTAGCTATTTGTTGTTGCAACTCAACCAGTCCTGATGACAAAGACAGCTGAAACTTTATTGTAATATCATTCATATATTTTGCCCTCATGGTCACAATATTTGCATCTTCAATTGCTATATTATGTGGGTTTGCGTGAAAACAGTAGTTGAGGCTTGATTGAAAGGCAGATCAAAATTTAATTGTGATATTGTTTGATGATCAACACCCCGGGAAGATTCACTAGGTTGAGATTGACCAACCATATTCTTCTTGCATGGTGGCCACCTCGGGAAACCATAACGTCTACAAACACGCTTTAGTGTAGATCGGCTAACTGCAAAAGGAAGAATCTAGGTATGAGACACAACTTTATGTTTGTTGGTGCAAAATGTCAAATATTTCTTTACGAGAAGAGTGTCGAGTTGAAAATAATAAGTAAAATCACAAGCAATGTTTTATTTTAATTTGTTAAGAGTACAGATACCTTTGAGGTCATCTGCAGCAGCCTGGCTGCTCTTTGTTGAATTTTGTAAGATATCATCTAAAGGAATTTCAATTTTAACTCTAGTTCTATTGTACACTCTTTTTGGTCTCCTAGTTTTGCCTTTTTCCTGTGAACAAGTAACATCAATGTTGCATCTTTCCGCACTTACAACATTACTTCCATTGTTTAATGCATCAATTGATTGTTGATTCGATGAATCCAGTTGTGTCATCTCTCCTCCACTTTGTAAGGGCTCCAGCCTAGGCAAAGATTTAGTAGTTTGGGGCATTTGAACATAATCAGTTTCTCACCATTCTGAAAAGAAATTTCTTCAATACATAAATGTTCCCCAAGTTCTTCTCCAGAGGCAAGCTTAAAAGTTTGGAAATTTTTC